ATCTTCTTCCTCTTCCCCTACTTCTTCCTCTACTTCCTCATCATCGACCTCCTCATCATCAACGCACTCATGGTCAGATCGGCCGTCACAAAGGCCCTGTCGGCCGAGGTATCCGTTGTTAGATCGATCATTACAAATGCCTCTTCGGCGGAGACGTTCCCCGTCTCCACAACAACCTCCAAGACAGCGGCCTCGTTTGTCGTTGAATGGCACGATCACCGCGCCCCCTGCAAGGTTAGAGATTTGCTCCGATGACATGCTCGCAACCTAATGGAACGACATCGTCACTTTCAGTATACACTAGCGAGGAATAGTGCACATCGAGTCCGATGCCTGCAATGTGGCGATGATTTCTTCAGTGCTGCAGGCTTACGAGTGCACCAGACACGAGGTGCAGCTACTTGCGCAGCGTTTGCACGACTAGCAGCCGCCCTAAGCCCAAGTGAGGCTGATCAGCTTCCGATTCCCACATCTGGTCCACCCATTCTCACCCACCTGACCCGCCCCTCTCTCATCCACCTAGCCCCACTCGCTCCCCTGCCCCAAATGACAATGGCCCGTCTCCTGATTACCTGACGGAGCCCCCGGTTGAAGATCATCTCTCTCCGGAGCACATACCGGAGCCAATTGGTCAAAGACCACGACGAGTCTCCGCCACCTGGGCAACCTGCAGAATTGAACGAGGACCCCTCTGCCGTAAGTGGATCCCCCACGCAACCTGCGGAATCAGAAAATGTCATAGCGCTACAGCGAGGGTGCTGTGCATACTATGCCATTAATGTATGTCTCCTTGCTTAGAATTGTAATCCTTATACTGTTGCTGATTTCGCAGACGTTGTTCGCTGGATAGAAGAAGAGCACCGTGCAGTCTTCCCAGACGACGACAGCGCTGCGCCTGGGGTGAACATAGAAGTCCTGGCTATGGCATTTATGGGTAGGCCACTGCAATTCCGGCCTGCTCCGCAAAACCACGAGCCAGGCACGGATCCGAATATTCGGGCATATATCTTATATCGTCCAGGTCACTTCAGTGCTCTTACCTTTGCAGATAGTTCATGGACCCTATGGGACAATGGCGGTAGGGTGCACACAGTGGGAAATGTTAACTCTTTCTATCACCAAATGCTGGAGGGTCACTCAGCCTGGCTCATCCATCAGGAACAGTATGTCGATGAACATTTGCAAGCACTGCACCCCCCGGAGAGCAATCCTGCTGATTCTACCACAAACAGTGAAAGGACCTCTCCACAGGATGATGGTTGTGCCCTCCCGTTGTGTCGTCGCACAGGAACAGTTCAGTTGGCATGTACACGACATAGCCTCTGCTCYGAACACTATGAAGGGATGGTCGCTGCTAGCCTCTCACACGAAAATTGTGATCCCCAGTCCTGTGCTCATCCCCCCCCCCCCCTGATTACTTGCCCAGCATGGTGGCCTTGACCTGCCATGCTTAAATAACTGTGCACATCAGCCTTCCATACTAATAACATGTCAGCAACATGCCATGTGTCGTCAATGCTTCCAGGAAGCTGTCATAGAAAGTATGTGTCTTTACTGCGTGGACTATCCCCGGTACCATGACCCTCCACATCCTCTCCTAGCATGTCCCACATGCGGCATTGGTCATACACCTACGGCAACTGCTGACGGATCTCCCTCTTTCTTGCCAGACGAACGGCGAGCACAGCAGTCCGAGGAGGAAAATAGACTTCTATATGAGCCACCGACAGAGCGATGTGCTC